GAGGCTGGAATTCTTGGAGTCGGCTTTCGGGAAGAAATTCCCGTCGTCAAGGGGTTAAAATAAAAGCTCAATGTCAACCAAAGAGTAAGACATCTGGGCTTGCGACTACAGAGGTTTTTCACGTGACCGAACATAACAGGCAAAGGCATTTTGGGAAGCGTACCACGTCTGTGGAAGTGCTTGCATTTATGAATCCGTGTATTTCTATTGGCAATTTCATGTACCCCAATAATGTGGAGAGACTTCCAAGGCGTTTCCCCACACATCGGTGTTGAACGCTGACAGTTAAAAATCAGGCGACTGAAAATCCTCGATAAGTTGGGAGCAATTTGAGAGACATCTTGTAAATTCTGCAGAAATTCAGGTTAGCTGGATGTAATTCAAATTTTCTACATGGGTGTTTTATTTTTTTGGTGGGGTTTTTTGTTCCTGTTTTGCAGTACACACACATAATTTATCTATATAGGGAGATATGTATTTACAATAACACGCAAGAATATTCTACACGTTTAAACCTTGCTTACTATTAATTCTTATTTACAAATGTATAAACTTTGGCCATTTCATCCTTCCATACAAAAGTAGTAAACAAGTGAAATGCCACTTTGAAATAAAATTACACTTGTTTGTGCCTATCTACCAAAATTATTTGTGTTTACCACTTTCAATGACAGTGCTTCGGTAATCTAAGGTTTTGACAGAGTTTAAAAGAAAATTTACACTGGAATGTGACAAAGACACCCAAAGGGCACTTGGTGTTTACATATCTCTCTTTTTAGACATGGTCAAATGTGAATCAATGGGTGGGCTCCCTCGATAAAAAAACCTACTCATTTTACATGACCAAGCCAACAGGGACGATGCATCAGATCTAGAATTGGGCCAAAGACTTGGAGACTTCTCGAGCTTCTCTAAAAAACGTAAACCTTACAAACCTATCAATAGTAATTGAAATCAAAACATTCCGTCAAAATAATTTCAATGCTTCGCCAACAAATACTGATCCAATACTGAAGTGTTGTTTGATACCTGGCCATGTCTAACATGAACAGAAGACTGGCCGTGGCATGGGTGATTTTTAAAGTAGCTCATTTAAAGACCACCCTGCAAAGCCAATTGAAGTAAATCTAAGTAACACGTTCACAGTACACAGAGAACCTCAGAACACCATGCAATTTGGGACTTAATCTTCCCGAAGGCAAGCACACTTCAAAAGTCAAAATAACTGAATTTTTAGACAGATAAACAGTATTAACCACTTGGTGCCAGGGTTCCCGGTACCAATGGCCTTGGGTTTGTATGCATAGCTTGGGTGCCCAAAATCGGAAAAAGGAGCTGGCCTTGTAACAAAAGACCGAGCTGCTAGGAATTGCGAACATTTTTCCGCAAACAATGCTGGCATTAGTGGAGGTAATCTGTCATGGTTTTGAAACAGTACATGCTGCATTCAGTGCCCACAGATCATCAGCGGGGACAAAAGAACTCCAGCAATGAGCAACACAGTACCGCTGCAAGCTGATCTGGCCACATTTGAAAAGACACCACTGCCATTCAGCAACACACTGGGCCAATTTTGAAAACAAAGGAAATTATGCAACACTGCACAATGTGGGCTCTCTTTACTGGGCGGCAGGCCTGGCTGCAATACTTGGGTGTCAATGGAGGTTGCCTGTCAGATTAGAGTAGCCACCAGACAGTCATTCATGTGGGGTGTAAGCATCCCGTAAATGAAATTATAAATTTTAAGGAATTTTGAAAACGGAAAATCTTAAAAATCTCTTGCATCTATGCAAATTCCACCTGGCAGGAAGTGGTTAAATACATGAATCATATGCCAGGATGCTCAAAAAGCAGTACGTGTACAAAGGCCAACACAAGGGAAGAGTCGTGTCCCGCAAAACACATCGATTGCACTGTGAAGTACATTTCAGCACCGTTGGTTCAAAGGGCACAATCCCAGAACTGTTTTCTCTGTACACATTATTCCTCCCCCCCCCTAAAAAAGAAAAAATCTGTAACAGATTTGTATTGTGGGTCATACACGGAGTCACAGTATTTCAATTTAGAATTGTGCTACATGTAAAAAGTTTTTCCCTACAAAGCTTTGGTTCTTTAACTGTAAGCGTGCGGGGCTTTTTGGACCATCCCACATCAGTTGCTATTTTCAAAGCTTTGCATGCATCTAAAGACACTCATCACGAGTGAGGCTTTAATTCAATCTGACGCTGGGTTTTTATTATAAAGGTCAATACGGCCGTTTCACAATAGTGCACCATCAAGAATTTGCAATGCATTGGCCAATCACAGTGCGCGAAATTTGTCGACCCAATGCGTGTTTAGAAAGGGTCGACAAATTTCCCGCGTTATGATTGGCCAACGTGTTGAAAACTCTTGGTGACGCACTATTGTGAATCGCCCGTATTGCAGCTCCAGGCCTCATGTATGTAGAATTATTGAACATGCTGCAGGAAAAAGTTGACTTTTTCGGATGACCTGTCACAGAAACACGGGCGTTTCACAAAAAGCTACATCTAATTTTAATAAAAATAGTTTCAAAATGATTGTAGGACATTACTTAAAAACTCCTGAAGGCTTGGTGTGGAACAAAAAAAATACAGAGTAACTATATCAGAGAAACTGTTAGGATTCACCCTCCCTACCCTGCTATCCAAGAGTCTACAGACCACTTCCTCACAGAACAGTAAAGTTAAGGACTTTGTAAGAATTTCACAACAACTTTACTATTATTTAACCTTTTTTAAGAGCAAGTCACCGAGATTGACCAGTGGGTTATCAGTCCTCAGTCAGACAAGCTTTTTAAATGGATATAACCGACATGGAAAAGGGAACATCTCTGAAACTTAAGAGGCAATGCACCCGGTGGCTAGCCTACTATTGAAGCCCTATACCTGTGTGGTGTCTGGGGACTTCGGTCTCACTTGCTGTTCACTTTGACGACCGAGTTCACGGCCGATGTGGTGGGGATGTTGACAATGATGGTGTTGGTGTTGCTGGTGGTATTGTTCACACTGTTGGAGGTCGGCAGTGAGTTGTTCATTGACAGTTCCGTCGAGGAGTCGACCTTGTCTGCGAGGAATATGCACAACCATTTGGAAATGCTCCGAGGTGAGTTCCAAGGGGAACATGTGTGGATAACTTGAGTTTAAGTATGACTGAATTCCATGTACAATAATGAAAATGCAAAGGATGACAGAAGTCAAGGCATATTTCTGCTGGCCTTGTGGTCTAGACTATACCCAATGGATATTACAGGGTTCCCGCACCTAATGAACAATTAAATTCCATGACTTTTCAATGACCAAATTATGAAAATCCACAACCAAATAATGCAATATCTTGGACTATTTGGCCTTTTAGGTTGCAAATACAATCACAGATTTTGTGTGCTAATTTCTGATAATAAAAATCACACACTGTTTTATGACTTCCATGACTTCTCCAGGCCTGAAAAAGGAAAAAACAAATTTCCATGACTTTTCATTACTTTTCCAGGCCGCATGAACCCTGGTATCATTTAAGCTCATAAGTTGTGGGTAGTGAATGTGGCTTCGATCAAAGTCCATTTCTTTTCCCAAGATGACTAAAAGAGACGCCAGACTTACCCATGACAGCGATGGGGGTTTCCCCTGTTGCAGCTGCTACTCTGTGCTCAATCAGGTAAAACATGAATTCGTCATAAAGCAAGCGTATTAAATGGAACGAGCCAAAGCTTGCGGCACTGCGAAGTGTAAGGTCGCGTATCACCATGGAGCTGCAAGAGAATACAAGAGCAACCAATATTTTCAAAACAGGATGACTATTTGAAACAGTCAAATAATATTTCACCAAATACAGGCTTGGCTGACTATTTAGATCTGTCATCAACTGAGCATGAAACTCAAGTTACCAAAATGAGTAGTTAGCATATAATTTTCCCACTAAAAAGGCAGAAACATATTAAAGATGACTCAAATACAAGTGTAACGATCCTGTGGGTTGTCCTCAGTCATTGTAACATTTCTTTTTGGGGGGGGGGTGAGGAGCTGAACTGAATCCCATCACATACAACAAACAACACACGTTATCAAACACGTTATCTCTAAATCTGAGAGGAATAGTTTTGTATTTCAGACCGAGATAGACAACAAACGATTTGACCCAAAAAAGTTAAGGAAAAAGCTCACCTATAAAATGACCACTTAAGCAAGAACTGCCTGGCTGCCTTGGCAAAATTGGGGGAGTTCTCGTGGGGCTCCAGGACCTCAGTCACTACACCCTCTAGCCAGGCAGCCCACTGCTCCAGGGAGTTCTGCTCCTGGAGGGTGGACTTGAAGTCCTGCTCAAGACGCTGGACCATCTGGTCATCACACTGGCAGACCCATGATGCTTGCTCCTGGTCAAGGGAAGAGCAATGAGTGAACACTTTAATTATACAAACAATAATCCATAAGCAAGAAAAAACAACATGACTAGGGTACTTCATTTACATATATCTCACTTTTTTGAATTTCCAGAATCTTATTTTTCTGTCGAATAGATACTGGAGGAAGATTTTCTTGGGGTCCTAACTTCAAGCTCTCCCTTAAACAATAGGTTTTCAGGTCACTTCAGTGAACAGTCTGCAGCAGATTTTTTAACATCTTAAAACAAATAATTGAAATGGAAAAACCAAAGTTTCAGTTGCTGCATTAAATCCTGATTTCTAGTGCACAGCTCATCTTAACTTCCTGTTGGCATGTAGTCAAGGTCTAAAGCTTACAGAAACAGCAAATTCACTTTCACACAAACGGCGTGAAACTAGTATATCATGTCATGGTAGGTTGGTAGCAAACCAACATTCTTTTTTTCTTTTCAAAGGCCTTCACTGTTTATAAAACCCAATGTGATATCCCCCTGTGACAGGATGATTCAGTATCAAATGAAAACAAGGGAGGCAAGCGCCCACCTGTACGTTGGCAAAATCTACTCTGTTCAGGTCACTCAGCATCTGGTTGATCTGAGATGTATTCTGTAGCACAGCTCGGGCAGCCTGCGCTAGGTGATTGAGCGACGTGTAACGGCGGAGGGTCTGTGCAAAGGCTGTGACTGCACCTACCTGAAATCAGGTAATTCATTTCACAGATCAAATCAAAATCCTACAATTAAATACCAATTTCCTTGTTCAATGTTGTATTACTTCAGTACACTCAGTACCAACAGTCAGATTTAAAAAGGCCTGTTTAATCCATTTAAAAGAAAGCAAAACAGTGAAAGAAACAGATTTTTAGCTGAGTTCATCGGAGGTCAAATCACAAATAAAACACAAGTCTGGCCATAGTGGCCAGGATGGAATAGTGATAAAAAATGCCTTCTCCGAAGTTCTTTTGAACAGCACCATTACTTCACATTGGATGCCTTGCATGGCTGACACATGATGGGACTATTAAAAGTAAACCACTAACCCTCCTATGCTGAAGTCACTCTTTGGGTCATTTGGTGAAC